GATTTTTCTGTGAATGAACTGCAGTTTTTGGTCTTCCAGCAAGGGAACAACAAGTCACCAGGTATGGATGGTGTTGCTTCTTCTTTTTACAAGAGCTATTGGAGTATTGTTTGGGAGACTCTATAGAATGCTGTCAATTGTTTTTTCAAGACCAGCTATATGAATAAGGAGTGGAAGGATACTTCGATTGTCTTGATTTCTAAAGTAAAGAACCCTTTGATTACATCCAACTATAGGCCTATTAGTCTTTGTCGGACTAATTATAAGATTGTGGCTACCATGTTAGTTAACAGATTGAAGAAGAGTATTTCCAAGATGATTACTGAAGAGCAAATGGCATTCATTCCTGGAAGATCTATTTCAGAGAATTTCCTGTTGGCTCAGGAGATCTTTCACAAGTTCAAAATATCCAAGAATAAGAAGGGGTTGATGGATTTAAAATTGGATATGGAGCAAGCATATGATAGCATGGGATGGACTACGTTTCGTTAAATTCTTTGTTGGTATGGCTTTCCTACGGATTTCTCTAACCTTCTCATGGAATGTGTTGTATATGTGAGGTTTTCTATTATCATCAATGGAAAGAATTCCAAGTGGATCAATGCTCATAGTGGGTTCCGTCAAGGGTTTCCACTTTCACCCTATCTTTTCATTTTGTGCTCTCAACTCATGTCAAACTCACTTGAGCAAAGGGGGTAGACTTTTGGCATTCATATTTTCCCTAGAGGCCCAAAGATCACACATCTCCTTTATGCAGATGATGTGTTAATTTTTTCTCATGCTTCCATTGCTTTAGCTAATGCATTGAAGATCATTGTAGAGGATTTTTGTAAGTGGATAGGGCAAAGAGTTAATGTAAACAAGTCACAGTTGATGTTCGGCAAGGTGGTTAGTTACTCTATGAAGAAGAATATTGCTAAATTACTTGTCTTCAAAGTGGTTAAGGAGATAAAATACTTGGGTGTGAAGATCTCCCTTAGTAGACTCAAGATGGCTGACTTTCAAGAGCTTTTGAGTAATGTCATAGATAGGCTCAATGCTTGGAGTAAAAAGTCTTTGTCAATGGGAGGTAAGCTCACTTTCATTGAAAGTTCTTTTCTTTCTATGCCAAATTTCTTAGTTAATCATTCTTTGGTTCCCAAGAGGGTATTACAAGAGTTGGAAAAACTTTGTAGAAGTTTCATTTGGCATAAAAATGCTGTTAGATGGAAAGTGGGTAAGGGTGACAAGATTAATATCTTGAATGATGCATGGTTGCTTGATAAATGCATCAACCGGTGGCCAACCTATATTGATTGTGATTTTCTGGATTGTGTCTATGTACAGCAGCTATTGTTATATAATGGTGAATGGAATTTTGCCATGTTACAACAGGCCTTTCATCCTGATCTAATCTTTTTGATTAGTCAAATACAAATTGAGTATGAGGAGGAGGATCGGATGGAGCTGTTGAAAATGTTTTCGGGTAAAACAGTCTCTGCTGTGGTTTATGATCAAGTGCTGCTCAATAGATGTGCATTGGAGGATAATGAGTTCTCTGGATGGGTGCATAAACTGAAACTTAACAACAAGGTGGAAATCTTCTGGTGGAGGCTTGGCAAATTAGCGATTCCAACCAACTTGTTTCTTAAGAATCGTAGAATTTCTGAGAATGCTCTTTGTGCTAGAGGCTGCCTAGTGAATGAAACGTATGAACATATCATGGTTCATTGCAAATATATGGTAGAAGTCATTGTGAAGTTGCATGAATGGGGTATTCTTATACCTATTTTTAGTTCTCTGGATTGATGTCTACATGAATTGAAGAAGCTTACAACCTGTAATTCTGTAATTGTCAAAATTTACTGCACCATAGTTTACCTCGCTTGGAAGAATCGAACTGATGTCAAGCATGGTAAGGCTGCTTTTCCATGCTCTATGGTTTCTTCTAATGCTTTGTTCTTAGCCATTTCCAAATCTAGTCCATATCTTTCTAGCTGGGGTACTAATCTCCTTAGGGAGTCTCAAAATACTTGGTGCCCTCCACCGAAATATTGCATTAAGATTAATGTGGATGCTTCATTGCTTAACTCCAACCTTGCTGGTGTTGGTGGTGTTTTTAAAGACAACAAAGGCAGATTTATTAGTGCATTTGGAAAGAATAAAGCTCATTGGGATATTAAACAGCTTGAGCTAGAAGCTATTTTCATGGTGAGGGAGTTCCTTAGAAGTTGGATGTTGGAATGCAAAGGGGTGATCATTGAGAGTGATAATACCAATATTATCAAATTCATTCAAGACTCTTTAAAGAAGAATAATTGGCATGTGGATAGGTGGCCGGCAAAGGATTTATGTTTCTTAAATGACTTCAATAAAGTGGTGTTCCATCATGTATATAGAAGTTGTAATAACATAGCTAATTGTTGTGCTATTATGGCATTGAATAGTAGTTTCTTTTTTGATAGCTTTTCTTTTGGGAACATTCCTTCCTTGTTATTGGAATTAATCAAGGAGGAATGTGATCCTTTTGTTACTTGTAACTAGTTCTTTGTTCTTAATGCAATTTGATGCAATTCTTCAAAAAAAAAAAAAAAAAAGCAAAGAAATACCAAATTGCAGTAAACTTTAGTGATAAAAGTTCTTTTGGAAGCATTTAACTCCATCCAGGAAATTAACTCAGCAAAAGTTTTAAAAAATGGAATATGAAATCCCCATTGATTGAGAATTTTTTTTAGTTTAAATGAGTTTATCACAACTCACCGCAACATGCTTAACATCTTCAATTTCCAAGCAGCCTCTTGGACACAAGCATCCCTCTTTGAGTTTTCTATATTCCATGAAATGAAAAGTTGGAATAGCTTTATGGTATAACCTCCACCAAAAGACTTCAGTTCTTGGATTAAGATCAATTTTCTTCATCCAAGACCAATAGCTTCCTCCATTTGAATCAATTAACATAGCTTCATAAGATAATGCCGCCAAAGATTTCCCAAAATTATAAGAAATCAGCTCCATATGGTCACAACCGGCCTCCTGATCAATTTTGAAGTTGCAGATGAGCTTAAGCAAGTCTTTTCCAAAAACATTTTGCATTTTATTTATGTTCCATCTACCATTTTCAATAAAGTAATCTACACATAACTCATTGATTTGTAGACGATCAAGAAAAGTAAGCCATTTACATAAAGCATTGTTAAGTGTCCATACATCTTCCAAGGCATTCACTTTTTAACCATTACAAATTTTCCATCTAATAATCTGTTTAAGAGCCATTGCACCACTTCTTATGATTCTACAGGAACTGGAAATATCCTGCATCCAATTCAGAATCCAACTAGAATTCCTAAACTTCGGCTTCAAGCATTTATGCAATAATGAGTCTTCATCATTCACATATTTCCATGCAATCTTAGCTCTTAAACAATCCACTCTTTGTGTACAAGAGCATAGTCTCCGTCCACCTAAATGCAATGGTTTGCACAAATTATTCCAGCTGATATAATGTAATCCACCTTCATTCATCTCCTTGTGCCAAATAAACTCTCTACAAGCTTTGTCTATCTCATTCAAGATACCAACTAGAACCAACAAATGTATGCAATAAAAAATTAGTATAGAAAGAATTGTTGATATAACAAGAGTGATACTTCCAGCAAGAGAAATAAACTTGCCTCCCCATGTATCAAACTTCCCAATCACTTTTTCCAGCAGAAAATTGAAATCTTAAGCCACCAATCTCCTTAATGCAATTTTAACTCCTAAGTAATGAAATTCCTTCACATACTTGAATCCCATTACCCGAGCAATCTTTTTCTTTTTTCTTCTACTAACAGCTTTCCCACATAAAATAGAAGACTATTGTAATTAATTTTTTGACCCGATAATTAAAATAGTCTAATAAAATGCTTCTAATCCTCTTTACCATCTTCAAGTTTGCTTCAGAAAAAAATCAAGATATCATCTGCATAAAGCATACGTGATATCCTTGGAGCATTATGATGAATCTTAATCCCTATCTCCATCTATTCTTGCATCAAAGCTTTAGATAAAAGTTGAGAACATAAAACAAAGAGAAAAGGAGAAAGGAGACAACCTTCTCGATAGCCACTATGAGCATTGATCCAATTAGAAGATTTGCCATTGATCAAAATAGAAAACCTTGGATCACGTACACATTCCAAAATAATTCAAAATGTGCTCCAACGTTTCCCATGACATGCTATCATAGGCTTGCTCCATGTCTATTTTAGAAGAAACCAACCCTTTTAAAGATTTTGAAAACCTGAATTTATGGAAAACTTCTTGTGCAATTAACACATTATCTGTTAGAGACTGGCCTTTAATGAAAGCAGATGGATTTTCTAAAACCAATTTTGGAAGAAGACTCACAAATCTATTGAGAAGAATTTTTGCCACAAGCTTATAAATAGTTTTACATAAGCTTATAGGCCTGAAATTAGAAGGTGTCATAGGCAATTCCACCTTTGAAATGAGAACAATCATTGTATCTTTCCAACTAGATTCCATTATACCTGTATAAAAAACTTTTTCAATGCATCCCATACATCTAATTTAATGATATACCAATAGAATTTAATAAAGGAATGAGTAATAAATTGAACTCCAGGTGATACTCCTCCCTCCAAATGGCTGACAGCATCATAAACTTCCTTCAGGTTGAGTTTGGAATTAAACATTTCTCTTTCCGAATCAGTTAAGATTTCCTTGGTCAAGGCTAGTTATTCAGAGAGCATGTTCTGTAATTCCACTTGGATTTGAAAAAATTGAAGAAAATCTCTTCAATTTGGGCTTAATCTTTCACCAAATCTCCATTCTCATCTTTAATATTAAAGATGTAATTTGCATTTCTTCTAGCATTTGCAAATGAATGAAAGAACCTTTTATTCAAGTCTCCATCCTTTAGCCATCTTACCTTTGCTCTTTGTCTCCACCAAGAGTTTAATCGAGCTAAGGTACATTGAAGTTCATTGATTTTGGATCTGAGAAGAATGATTTTTCCTTCAGGATGGCTGCCAACCGAAGACTCTTCCATTTGAAGATCTAGTATTTCTTTGATAAGATTTTCCTTCACAATATTGAGGTCTTTCAATTACGATTTTCTCTAGAAAAATAGAGCTTTCAAAGCCCTTTTTAAATTTGATATGAAGCCTATCTAAATGATGATTTGCAATATTTTTGTTCCAAGCTTTTTGAACAATAGCCGCCGAAGCATAGTGAGAAGCCCAAGTATCTTTAAACTTGATGTATACATTTGGTTTCAGTTGATCTTCCCATAGTTTCATCATAATGGGGCAGTGATCTGAAGCTATACGAGGGAGATGATGAACCACCAATAAAGAATTAGACTCTAGAGCAGATGAATTAACAAAGCACCTGTCAAGTCTTTCCAAAATCTGAGCTCCACCTAATTTGTTATTGCACCAAGTATATCTTGGCCCAATAAAACTCAATTCATGATAATCAAGGTTAGCAAAAAAATATTTCATTTCCTTTGAGCCTTGAGAGAATTCAAATCCTCTACCTCCTTTCTTATCACCTTTGGATAAAAGGCAATTAAAATCGCCTCCCACCACAGAAGGACTGTCAAGAAGCATATACTTCTCCAATTGATTCCAAAGGTCCCGCCTTTTATAAGAATCTTTGTTAGCATAAACCGTAGAAATCTTCCACAACTCCTTATTATGAATTTTTAAGTCACCAATTACACATTGACAAGAAGAGAACAAGGCATTAAAAAAAGCAAACCTTGTATTCCAAAGAATTAAAGTTCCTCCTGAAAGACCCTCCGAAGGGTAATGAAAACAATTCCAATCCATCCCAATAAGAGCAATGATATCTTTTCTATTCATAGAAGAAACTTTGGTTTCTAACAAACCAATAAAACCCACACCATATTGTTTGACAAATTCTTTAAGATATAGAGAAGCAAGGACTTTCCTTGCTCCTCTATAATTCCAAAAGACAATGGAATTCATTGATTAGAAGGGGGACTAGCCCCATTCTTATTGTCTTTATTTCCCATCTCCAATCTTCTGTTTCTAGTCATTAGTTTAATTGTTCCAAGAGTTTTGAGCTCCTTTCCCAATTTCCTTTTGATCGAGCTATTTTCCACTTTAACTTTTTCAACTGTTAAAGCTGTATTCTTCAATATATGTGAAGACTCAATAGCATTATCATCTAAATTTTCTTTCATAACATTTTTAACATTGTTAACATCATCATCAACAATATTAAGAATATGAAACATATTCTTATTCAAAGCTATAGGTTGAGAAGCAATCAAATTCTTACTGGAAACAGTCCTATTATCATCTTTAAATAAATCTTGAATTGGCAAATCTTCTAGGATTTATCCATCTTCCAAACTTCTATTAGTTATTGTAGCATCTTCAACATCATCCAGAATTCTATCTTTATAATGATTATCTTTCTTCATATCATCAACCAAAGACTTGTCTTTAGGAACAGAACTTCCAAGAAAAGTATCTTGTTTTGGATTCTGACTAGGCCCAGCAATTGGAACAACTCTCCAGATTTCTTTAACAGCACTTGGACCAGCTCCACGAACAGTTATTTGCATCTCCTTAGTAGCATTGTTTTGAAATCTTCTTTTCCTCCCATATCTGGCCTGCATCCAAGGACCATACCCTTTCTCTTCTTGATCAACATAATCTCCTTCATTGTTATCAGCAATTGTTATATGTCCATCAGAAGCCACTTCAGAAGAATGCAAACTGAATTTATCTTTGTAATCTGTAGACTTAGAAACAGGACAATTTCTCGTCAAGTAGCCAATCTTGCCACATTTGAAACAAAGTTTGGAAACTTTTTTATATTCCACTTTTTGATAAAATTTTCTAGAATCACCTTCCACCCACACTCCCAAAGGAAGTTGTTCGTCTAAATTGATACGAACACAAATCCTAGCAAATTCTCTTCTATTCCATTGGAACATGTTTCCATCGGGTAGAAACGGCTTCCCAACTAGAGATGAAATTATGCAAATATTAATATCATCCTAGCAATATAAAGGTAGATTAGGAAGTCTAATCCACACAGAAGCCAGAAGACCTTTCAAAGATTTTGTTGAATAAGTAGGTGACCATTTGTCAATACCCACAATATGACCTTTAACAAACTAAGGTCCTTCACTTAAAATTGATTCCATAATCTCAGCTTTTTCATATGAACATAGAACCCAAACTTGACCCAACATGGTGAGTCTAAAGCTCCCAAAGTAACTCCATTGTCTTCTTAATTCATTATTTATAAAAAAAATGGAATGTTATCACCAAAAACTTTGATGACAAGAGCATTTCTCAATCTTCTAGAATTTTCCAACACATTCTCCAAATGCAATTTTATAGTTTTTCCATCTTCAGCCAAATATGAACCTAAGTTCAAATTTTCAACTTTAACATTACCACTTCTTGCCCAAGCATTTGTCTTTAAATTACCCATTTTATCAGCTGTCTCAAGAGGAGAAATCTTATTGGAGATCTAATTTTCAGAATTCAATTCTCCTGAAACACAATGTCTAACATGCTCCAAGTCATTTTGTAATGCATTTGAATTCCTCTTCAATGGTTCCGGCTTATCAACATAAACATTATCTGCATCCCCTTGATTTATTTCAACCACAGCAACTCCATCCTTTGAATTTGCACATTTAGAAATCTGATCACAAGGACTACAAGGAGTAGAATTACAAAATCTACTCAAATGTAATTTAAAATCTGAAGAAGTAGAAGCATTCGGACTGACCGAATTAAGTTTCTGATTTTTAAAACTTTTCGGACTCTTCACTCCATCATCAACAACAACCTTTTTTCCTTTCCCAATAACTGTAATTGTCTTTTTAGCAGTAAGACATGTTCCTTCATTAATGATCGGAGGTTTCTCTTTCAAAGTCAGATGTCAATTCAAACCCGAGAGGAAATCCAACGAAGAAATTCTAACAGTAGAATTTGAATTTGGAGGTTCCGCCCTCCCAACCATGGCAGTAGATTGTTAATCGTCAGCCATCCTTAATTTCCTGATGATCAGAGAAGGATCACCAGTGATGAAGATCGGCGAGAAAAAACAGGAACAAAGAAATTTGAATTTAACTTCCTCACTCTAGTAAACGGCTCTTTCTCACTTTAAAACCAAATCTCTCAAAGTAAATTTGCCAATACTCATCTTTGGTTTAATATATATGTAAAAATATAAAAATTTTAGAAACTTATATAAATAAGAAAGTTAAAAAAAATGGACTCCATATTAATACATTAAAATATCCCTTAAATTTTAAAAATCTAATAAATGATGAAAATATCAATAAATCATTAATTTTATGAAATTAATTTAGTAAAAAAATATTAAATAAATAACCAAAATTCCTGTCATTGAAGTTTTTAGGTTGGTTTACGTTGAGTTATTGGCAAATGTTTCTTAAGGAGGCCTTAGGTCCCCGTATTCGTTGTGACTATGCCATAAACCAATTTGATGTAATGCAAAGATTAAAATATAAACTTAAAAAAATAAATAAATAATAAAATAAATTCAAGTAAAAGTTATGAATAAATGATATAGATATTACAGCTTATTTTACCCTTTTTCTTGATTCATTTTAGGAGGGCAAAGGAGTATTGGATTGAGAAGCTTTAAGGACTACAAAATGTAATAAAAATTGAAGTCATTTTGCTATCAATCTACCCCAATTTTGGAGGATTAGTAGCATCACATTTTTTAAGTCTATGATATAAATTCCCACAACTTTTAGCGTTTACATGTTGTTGAATACTATGTTCTTTAAAACCAAAATTAAGTAACTTCAACAATTAAAACATATTTAAAAAGAATATTAAAATCATTAAATCATTAAAACTTAAATTCGAACCATCATATAAAGACATTGAATAAATAAATTCATTTATAGATAACTCTAAGCTAATAAAACATAGGTAGTATCTAAGCCATAAGCCTTTCTACTCACACTAGGATGATTTGCCAGGTCAACAAACTCTAGCCTAAGCTAGGCCAATGCATTCAGGTGACTTTCCTGCAAGGTGCTTCTCTTATAGTGTTCCTTAGGTGTGTTTATTTTTCTAGCAATCTTGATGTCATATATTTTAAATTCTTTTTTGTGCAGTTAGGCTTTTTAAGCATTACATTAGAAACATTAGATTTCTACACCATTGCATTGCACTTTATATGTTTTTATATGCCTTTATATTAATTTTAAATTCCTACAAGCATCAAAGTAGAATGTAATTTTAAATTCCTATAAGTTTCAAAGTAGATTGTACTAATGAATGAAGTATGTGTGCAAGCCATTGTACGTATAGAATGTATAAAGATAAAGTTGTATAACATCTTGATTTGTAAAAGATTTAAATACAGTTTCTTTTACATATATAAATAGGGCTCCATAAAATGTATCCTTTCTTTGGAGGATACTCTCTTTTCAAATTCTACAGAAGAATTGGAGCTTAAAGATCATAAGTATATTTTAATCTATATATGATATGCTTAGAAATCAAGGTTTGTTATGTCAGAGCCTTTCCATTATTTTGTTTCCAATAGCATCTTGATTTTTTTGTAAATTACCCATCAATAAATAAATTGTTATTTATATTTAATTATTACATTTCTTATATTCCTTAATGCATTGCATCATATGGGCTATAGTTAACATTGAATTTAGAGGGTATAAATTTTCCTAGATTTATTTTGGTGTATATGTTTTAGACTTTTTAGGAACATATATACTAGTCCTAGGATTATATAGTACTAGGTGCTATATAAACAACCCTTTAACCAAATTTATATAGCGGCATGCATTTTAAATTTCTATAATCATACACTAGAGCCCAATACTTTTATTCCCATCTTGAGAGGGGTGTAAGTGTCCCCATCATACTTGGGGGATGATAATCTTTTCTTTCGGATAGGGTCGTCATTCTACAAAAAAATTTAAAATTTTTGGGAGGTAGAAAATTTAGCTAAGTAAATTAAATAAGATAAAATTTAGAGTTCTTTGTGATCGTGAATGTCTTTAAAATAAAAAATCAAAATTTCTCAACCTTATTCAAAAATTTGAGAATCTAATTCATCATTTTACTTCTTAAAACAAAACTCAGGCTAACATACATTACATATAAGGAGATTTATTTTGCATTAGAAATTTTAAATAAATATAAGGTCGTACCCCTATAGGAAGTTAACAACCAAGAATAAAATAAACCCTATCTTAGTTTCCATTTAGGGTAGGGAAAAGATTTATGGAACACAACCCTAAGTTTTAAACAATTGAATAAGTTCATATTTGAAATGATAGATAAATGTTTCTTTGATCCATTAGGAATAATATAATATTCCCAATGCAATTTTCAATCATGAATAGAATGTTTAATTTATCAATTTTATAGTGAAATATTAGTCTATCCTTAAAGATGTAAAAATGTCAAATATATGGTTTAGTGTTTAAAGTTTAAGTATAAGGGTTTAGTGATAAGGGTTTAAGGTTTAGGTTTTAGGGTTTAGTGCTTAGAGTTTATGGTTTTGGGTTGAGGCTTTGGGTTTTGGGTTTATAGATTAGAGTTCAAGGTTTGGGTTTAGGATTTAAGATTTATGATTTAGGGTTTAGGGTTATGCTTGAGGATTTAGTTTTTAGAGTGTGTTATTTAGGTTTAGGTTTTGGAGTTTAAATTTTAGGGATTACGCTTTTTACGGATTAGAGTTTAGTATTTTTGTAATATGGTTCATGTTTATGGTTTTCATTTTATGGATTATAGTTAATTTTTAGAGTTTGGGATTTAGGATTTTGGGTTTAGGGTTTATAGTTTAGGGTTTTATGTTAAACAACTAAAGACTCGTGTTTAGGGTTTATTGTTTGGGGTTTAGGATAATTTCTTTAAGGTTTTAGGTTTAGGATTTATGATTTAGAGTTTTGGGTTCAAGGTCTTGGATTAAATATTTAGGTTTAGCATTT